ATGCCAGCTGTGTTTGTCAGGGAAGCCCGTTACATTACCAGCAACCACTAGTTCTGCAAATGGGGAAGCCACCCTGTTCGCTGGGAATTACCTGCTAGCAATAATTTGTTCTGTTTTACGGTATGCATCTGTGTCCACCCACCTTCAAGAATTCTGCAGACACTCATGTACCATGTGTGTATGTGTGTGTGTGTGAGAGAGAGAGACCAGGAGCTGGTGGCTCACGCCTGTCATCCCAGCTACCCAGGAGGCTGAGATCTGAGGATCAAAGTCCAAAGCCAGCCCAGGCAGGAAAGTTTGTGAGACTCTCATCTCCAGTAAACCACCAGAAAACCGGAAGTGGTGCCATATATATATATGGCTCCAAGTGGTAGAGCACCAGCCTTGAGCAAAACAGAACTCAGGGACAGCCCCCAGGCCCTGAGTTTAAGCCCCAGAACCCAGTTAGTGATTTTGGGGGTGGGGAGGGTGTTCCTTCCTCTATATCACATTCCTCATCCACAAAATGGAAAAAGGAAACTCCGAAACTCCTTTCTGGGCTTCTCCAATGCCCTGTGCTTTGGTTGTTCCCCTGGCTGCCTAACCACCAAAGCCATCGTGCCTGGCCCTGGGGTCTGGCACACTGCATTTTGAGTCTGCAGTTATACCATGGGAGATGCCTAAGACAGGAGCAGCTACTGGGGAGGGGCGTGTCTGCCTTCTATTTTATGTATCTATCTTTATTTGTTTATTTATTTCCCTGTCCTGGGCTTGAACTCAGGGCCTGGGGCGCTGTCCCTGAGCTGCTTTGTGCTCAAGGCTGGCGCTCTACCACTTTGAGCCATATATGTGGCACTTCTGGTTTTCTGGTGGTTCATTGGAGATAAGAGTCTCACGGACTTTCCTTCCCCCGGCTGGCTTCAGATCACAATCTTCCAGATCTCAGCCTCTTGAATGGCTGGGAAGACAGGCATCTGGGTGCTTGTGTGCAAGGGCCAGCGTAGGTTTTCCCATCCCTTCTACGCACAGCACCCCCACAACTTTGTCCCCACACCCCCACCCCCACCCCCTGGGCTGGAGGGGCTGAAACCAGATACCAGGTCTAGTTCCCCAGGCTGGCCTCAGGCCTCAGTGTGTGGCATCAACCTGCCAAGAACCATCCTTTGTCTGAGCGGGTCCCCTGGGGAGCCGCAGGATCCATTTTCCCTCTCCCCTCCCTGCCCTGCTTTTATCTTCCAGTCACTCCTAGAAGAGGGTTACAGGGGGGTGATCTCAGAATGTTCTGGACTCTGATTTGGGAGACGCCCCCCCTCCCCTGCTTACAGCTGTGGAATGTTTAGGAGAAAGCCGGTCACCAGCAACTCACACATCTGTCACCCTAGCTACTGGGGGACTGAGATCTGGAGGATGGCGGTTCGAAGCCAGTCCTGGGCAGGATAGTCCATGAGACATTATCTCCAAGGAACCAGCAAAAACAGAACAAAACTGGAAGTGGAGCTGTGGCTCAAAGTGGTAGGGTACTAGCCTTGAGCACTAAAGCTCAGGGACAGCAACCAGGTACTGCCCTAGAATTGGCATACTTGTGTATGTGTACACACTGTCTGCCTGTCTGGTTTGTTCCCCTCCTCAAATGCTATTCTCCTTGATCAGGACAGCTTCTCCTTCTCTGGTGTGTGTGTGTGTGTGTGTGTGTTAGAGAGAGAGAGGAGAGGGGAGAGAGGTTACTGGTGTTCAGGGCTTTCTGCTCAGCTTTCTCCCTCCTGGCTGGTGCTCTACCACTTGAGCTACATGGCCACTGCCAGCTTTTTGCTGGCTCCTGGGAGAGAAATTTTTTTTTTTTTGGGTCCGGTCGTGGGGCCTGAACTCTGGGCCTGGGCGCTGTCCCTCAGCTCTTCAGCTCAAGGCGAGCGCTCTACCACTTGAGCCACAGCACCACTTCTGGCTTTTTTCTTTTTGCTTATGTGGTTCTGGGGAATCGAACCCAGGGGCTCATGCATGCAAGGCAAGCGCTCTACCACTGAGCCACCTTCCCAGCCGGATCTATCTGCCCCGACTGGCCTTCAAACTGTGACGCTCAGATCTCAGCCTTCCGAGTAGCCG